TGTCTGTCGGAGCAGGTCGATGAACGCATTGAACACGTCCACCTGCCGTGTGGAGGGTGTTGGGGGGGGAGAGCGAGAAGAGAGGGTTTTGGAGAGACGTTGGAAAGTGTTGACTCGTGAGTCGACTCAAAAGTCTGCCTGGGCAGGTCGATGAACGCATTGAACACATCCACCTGCATGTGGAGGGAGGGAAGGGAGGAAATGGGCTCGTGTTGTGGGTTTGGGGAGTGGATGGGTAAGTTGGACAAACACGGTGGGCAGAACAACACATACGCGTAGACAAACTTAGCAGCCTCAGCCTGGTAGAATAGAAGAAACAAGTGAGATGGCAACCCTATTTGAGTGAATGCACTGCTCGTACCTTGACATTCTCCTCACGCTCTCTGAACCTCTCGATCAGCTTCGGGCTTGCCTGCGCGATGGGAGCACAAAAGGGGCGACATGGGGAAGAATGAGAGCAAGGAGGTGCTACAGGTGTGAAAATGCTATTCAAAGCGGTGAGTAAGGTTTCGGGTAGAGGGTTTAAATACGTGTTTCGGAGGGGACGGGGAGGGTATTAATTCAAGGGACAGGGTCGAGAAACTGTTGTTGGAAGCGGCACACGAGGGTTGAGGTTGAATGTTTGGGGCCGCATGAGGTGACCTCGACGTAGAGCGTGGATAGCATCTTGGGGCGAGACGTGGTGACGGAGAGAGCAGGGTACTAGTTCAAGGGATAGCATCTCGTGACACTGGCTTGAGGTTGAATGCTGCGGGCACAGCAGCTGACCTTGGCGTAGAGCGTGGAGAGCATCTCAGGGCGAGAGGTGGTGATGGCAGCGATGCACCGCGCTGCTGCTCGCCGCACCTTCCAGCTCACGTCCTCGTCGTCACTATACTCCTCCTCCTCGTCCCTGCATGGTGGGCGGAGGGTACACACATGACAGATGGGCCAGGCGCGTGACACACACACAACCCTTCCAGCTCACGTCCTCATCGTCACTGTACTCCTCCTCCTCGTCCCTGCACCGTGCACAACAGCACACATGACCAAAGGACAACCCTATGTCAGCACCAGGGTCGTTACTCTGAGACTTGAAGCCAGCTGCAGGAATTCCTAAGTTCACTCGGTCTATGAACTAGAATTTTATACTCGACTTGGAGATCGACGCCCTCACCCTCCCCCCAGCCTCCCTGCCGCCTCCCCCCAGCGCACTCACTCGTCGTCTTCATCGTCCTCCTCCCCATCGCCCTCCCCGTCGCCATCCATGGCGTCATCAGTGAAGTTAGGGTCGTAGCTCAGGTACTTGAGCGCCAGATCCAGGATCGCCTCGCAGTGCTCCGCCACGTCCTTGGGGCACCGCACCACAAAGCTCTCCAGCGCCTGCACGTGAAGGAGGGGTGGACAAGGAATCACGTGTTGCTGTTAGTGTCTAAGGCGGCTCACACACAGCATGGCCTCGCAGTGCTCTGCCACGTCCTTGGGGCACCGCACCACAAAGCTCTCCAGCGCCTGCACGTGAAGGAGGGGTGGACAAGGAATCACGTGTTGCTGTTAGTGTCTAAGGCGGCTCACACACAGCATGGCCTCGCAGTGCTCTGCCACGTCCTTGGGGCACCGCACCACAAAGCTCTCCAGCGCCTGCACGTGAAGGAGGGGTGGACAAGGAATCACGTGTTGCTGTTAGTGTCTAAGGCGGCTCACACACAGCATGGCCTCGCAGTGCTCTGCCACGTCCTTGGGGTACCGCACCACAAAGCTGTCCAGCGCCTGTAAGCGAGGAAACCATAAACATGGTGATACGATAAGGGCACGATTAGCTGGCGCGTAGAGCAACGGAAACACCGCTGATGGTAAGATGTCAACAGGCCTGCAGGGCGAATGATAGAGAGGTGACATCTCAAATCTGCGCACGCACGCACCTGCAGGGAGTACTCGCGGATCTCGTCGTCGTTCTCAGAGGCGCCCTCACAGAAGCCCACCACGAGCGGCAGCACCACCCCCAGATGCGGCCCAAAGCGGTACCCCACCGCTCGGCTGCCAGGGGCAGATAGCAAGAGCGGGGTAGAGCGGACGAGATGGGATCGAAAAGTTGGCTGGTATGGCACCACAACGACGCATTGAATGACTACTCTAACTGGAAAGTCTTTTCAAGAGAAATGGAATGGCACAGGGGCACCTGATAGATACACCATGCCGTGCTTGCCATGGGATGGTGCATGCATGGCATGGCATGAGAGAGCAGAATTCCCCTGCATTTTCCTGGACAATGCAGAGCATCACAGCATACCAGAGAGCCCTAAGAGGCGTACCAGAGGGACCCGAGTTCCATACCAGAGCGCCCCAACCATCTGGATGTAGGAGCGGGTCATGTCGGGCTTGAGGTCGCCGCGCTGCAGCAGCGCCACCACACTGTTGGTCGCCCTCGCCAACAGGTCGTCCGACAGACTCGCCGCCAGACTCGCTGCCCGCCCACACGCACACAGGGACAGGGCACAGGGCGATGGGACAGAGCGATGGGCACAGGGGAATGGCGACGGAGGACAACTGATAAAAGCATGCTATTATACCAAGCTTCCCTCCTTATAATACATTGCCCTCTTCCTCACAAGCTTCCCTCCTTATAATACATTGCCCTCTTCCTCACAAGCTTCCCTCCTTATAATACATTGCCCTCTTCCTCACAAGCTTCCCTCCTTATAATACATTGCCCTCTTCCTCACAAGCTTCCCTCCACTGAGAGTCGCTGTGAGCCTACCCAGGCACTGGGTGGCTCGCTTGCGGAGGGAGGCGCGGGGGGAGGAGAGCTGCTGCAGCAGGGGCACGAGCAGCCGCTCGTGGTCACTGGCCATCACCACTCCAAACCGCTGCAGAACGTCCCCCAGCACGTCCAGGCACTCGCCCTTCACGTCCACGCTCGTGTCCTGCTGCCCAACGTGGGGTTGCATTGCGGTGAAGCAGAAAGGTGTGGTGCAGAGGGTTGTGATGCAGTGATGAAGAGGGACGTGGTAGGGTGATGCGGAGGGTGGGGTGATGTGGAGGGATGTGGAGGGATGTGGTGAGGTAGTGTGCACCAATGGAATGGAATGTGTTGGGTTGGGTTTGTGTGGAAAGACATTGACACCGTCAAACAACCGCGTGCAGAACCAATCATCCCCATAGAACCAACCAGCAATGCAACCCTTACGCCTCGCACGCACGCACCGGGGAGTCGATAGCAGCAGTGAGCCTCGCAGGCAGGGACGCGAGCAGGTGGTGGATGGCGGGCGGCGACGCGACCTCGGCCACAACGGTCTTGAGCGCGATGGCGGCGATGTCACGCTGCTGGTCCTTGCCCGTCAGCAGCTTGCCCACCAGCGCCGCGCTCATCTCCGCCACGCGCGCCTCGCTCACCTTCTTCACTAACGGCACCAGGCTGACGGAAAACGTCAGGTGACGGAAACGGGAAACACGCAGCAGTCCAGAGGCGGGATGCGATGATCAGGCTGATTCAATGGAATGATTGATAAACGAGATTTGAGTTCCTCTGTCAGGCACTTTTTTCTCGACCAGCTGGAATCCGGTCGGTCTGGAACAAAGCTCAAATCATAAACCAGCACATTGATTCCATAAACCAGAAACCAGAAACCAGAAATTGGAAACTAGAAACGAGAAACCAGGAACGTGCAAGCGCGCGATCATCGCATGAGCGACGATTTCGCACTGCACGCACCACTTGACGGCGAGGCCGGAGATGTCGCCCGAGGCGTCGTCGAGCTGCTGCAGCACCACGTGGCACAGGCGCTTCTCGCTGTCCGGGTCGATGCGGAACGTGTCTCTGTTCAGCTCGTTGAGCAAATCCGATGTTCCCATGTACCGGAAATCCTTATCCTTGCTCGCTATCTGCGAAGAAATTCGACGAAATGTTAACGACAGAAGAGAGTCAACGGCGAACGCAGTACGAAAGCTTTGCGACTGATTAGCGAAATAATGGGATTGCTTATGTTGCTAGGATTACCCTTTCCAACGCGAGAGTGACCGAGTTCCCCGACATTTTGCCAGCTTCGGAGTGCACTCAGATGACGTGTGAGGAAAACAAGGGACCGAAAAGAAATCGTATAGGTTTTGCAAGATCTATAATCCTCTGTCAGAAGTCCGACAAACCAAATTTGAATCGAACTAAGCTAGAACCGTGAGCGCTGGAGAGAGAACACGAAGTATGAGTTGGTCGCTAGCTGCTGAATGCAATAAATTTGGGACCTGGATGGGATAGCTTCGAACTCGGACCAAGAAGGCTAGAACTCGAGAATCTGATGAGCTAAAGATTGCTTCTAGCACGGCAGGGAGGGACATGTCAGGAGGAGGGAGGGGCTGATGAGGATTGCTCCGCTGAGAAGACTGCACACCATTGTGTTTTAGACAACCTTAGCTGCACTTGATATCACCATCTGAGTATGTGAACAAATTGCACAAATTATTTATCAACACATCTCACTCTAAATGGCAGTTCAATCATTGGTGCAAATTACAAGGCGTAATGCCTTATTTGGGTCTTAAGGAGGAGCCAAAGATGGCTCAAGAAAGTCCAGCCAAACACCAGTCAGGATGTCAATTTATAAACCAGTACGGTCGTATATGCTAATCAAGTTAGTGAACCACGAACTCTGTTTCTGAAGCCCTTCTTTTTTGTGCCGCTAGAGGCAATATCGCGTATTTATTCTACCGATATTCCCCAGGAGTCCCCCCTGCTCCAAGTCATCGGTCGCCTCCTCCGTCAGATTCTTCCCACCACACCTTCCACCTCATTCTAGCCCTCAGCTTCACCGAGAGCCATGGCATTTCACATTCGTAGCTAAGCTGTGCGCTCGTAGGCGAGCATCAGACAGCGCAATACCGCCATTTTGCTAAAGGATCTTGTTTCAATTCCTCCCTTTCATTCGGCGCCTCACATCCAATACATTTGCCTCTGGAAATTCCAGTTTCGTACTTTCCGCCAGAATTTCCGTCTCATGTTCACTCGCGACACGTCGTAAGACGCCGTTATGGAAGAACAGCTTATATCGAAGGCCGTTCGTGAAGGCGTACCATGGGACCAGCTGCCGAAACGAGCGAAGCTCTTTCTAGGCTCGAACGAAGAATACATTAGACGGTATGTGCTCTAGCATTGGCCTTGGCAAAGCTCTGACCAACACTACGCTTTCCTAACAGAGGTGCAAGGCGTTAGCTTTTTTATATCTCTGTCGTGAATTCCGTGACGTCTTTGCCACGCTGTCAAGATTGTACGATCACCCGAATCTGCAAGTTTCTGAATCTCGTCATTCGTTCTCAGCCGTACGATTGTCTCGCTTAAGTTAAACTGCCGACAATACCGTAGCTCCCTCCTCGTCATTCACCTCAACGCGACCCTCCCTCCCCTCCCTCCATGCTCCACATCCAATCCGAATCCAGCATCAAGGAGCATTGCTTCCAGCTGCGGCTGCGCTGGCCCGACAGTCCCGCGCGCCTCGTGTGTCGCGAGCTGGACTATTACAACGAGCTCATCGCCCATGGCAGGAAGACTCAAGCCGTGCGTCTGCCTCGCCTCGCTGCCCATACTGCTGACTCCAATACAATGATTCAACAACCATGACAGACTAGTCGAGACTTTGATTGGTCGGGATTCCGGAATTTCGAATTCTAGATCATGAATGCGTACGGTTTTGGGAAAGCTGAAGTCTGCAGCACTGAGAATCTGCGGGTGGGATGGGTTGCTTGACATTGTGTCAGTGTCCGTGTGCGTGTGTGTGGATGGTGGTGCGTGGCAGCCATTCCCGTACCACCTGGCGGACTACATCTGCCGTGTGCTGCGCATCTCCCCCTTCCGCTACTACAGCGACCTGCTGCTCGACGTCATGAAGCAAGGTGAGGTGACGTCATGAAGCAAGGTGGGTGCCTGTACTGTCATGAATCTAGGTGGTTGAAGGTAGCAATGTGAGGTGGGGCATGTATACGTCTTGAGTGTATGACAGGAGATACTAGCGTGGACACAGCAGGGTGAGCACAGCAAAATTTGAGGCGTCCCACAATGCGAGCACAGTGAATGAAGCCCCATCATGCTGCAGTTGACATCGCCCGGCCATCCTCACATACCGTCTTCTGCTCTCGCTTCCTCCCTGTTCGTGCTGTGCTGTGGTGCGTGCAGAGAAGTCATACGACACGATTCCCAACTTCACAGCAGCGGACGCGCTGAGGGAGACGGGCATCGGGCGCAACCAGTTCATTGACATCATGAACCGCGCCCGCGCCAAGGTGGGTGTGTCTCTCCCTGCATGCCCCCATGCCTTCAAGCTGCATCTTCACTTCCCTCACATCATGGCATCGGGCGCAACCAGTTCATTGACATCATGAACCGCGCCCGCGCCAAGATTCAGGGCGACTTCATGATCGGTTCCCATTTCTCACTCACTGTCTATCGTTCTGTCTTCCCCTGCCCGTCCATCCCACCTATGAGCGAGCATCAGCTGATGTGGAGGGTGAACCGCGGCATAGTGAAGGACATGCTGCCGCTGGAGCCAGTGCCCTTCCCCATCCAGCCCTGGTGGCTCGTCTGCGTCGTCAACCTCACTGCTGACGAGTACAGGGTGAGTCTGAAGCGAGTACGGCGTGAGCCTAAAACAAGTACATCGTGGGGTAGAGAGGCAGGAAAATCTCTGAGTTTTAACGACAGTTATTGTGGGGTCTAGCTACCTTTCCACCCCTCCCTGGCTTCTCTTCACCTGCTCACTTCTCGCCCTCACCCCCCCTCACCCCCTGTCTACCAGAGGCTAACGGAGGATGAGTTGAGTGTGATAGAGCGGGGGGGGCACGAGGGCGACTGCATGGCGGGCGAGTTTGATGACGACCTCGTGCGCTCGCTGCACTGCAAGGGACTCGTGTACCTCGACGTGCCCGTCTACCCCAATGATCGCTTCCGCGGTATGCCTGGCTGCGTGCATTGCTTGGCGCGCATAAAGTGCTGGGAATATATGTAGTAACCCTGTTCTGTTGTGCGCGCGCTGCACTGCAAGGGTACCTCGACGTGCCCGTCTACCCCAACGCCCGCTTTCATGGTATGCATGGTTGCTAGTGCTGGGAGCGTTTAGCACCGGGATCATGTTGTGTCCGTGCATGTTCTTCCTATTCCCGTGCGCGCTTCACCTCGTTCCATCATGTCGCATCACCTCACGTCCTTTCCTTCCTCTGCTCTCCTCCCTCCCCTGACTGTGTGCAGTGTCATCGCTGGAGGGCTTTGTGTCCAACAGGAACCAGCAGGGCGAGGACGCTTCTGAGAAGTACGCTCCTGCCTCCACCTCCTGCCTGCACCTCCTGCCTGCACCTCCTGCCTGCACCTCCTGCCTCTAGTGCCTCTGCCTGTCTCCATGCACTCATGGCCGCACCTTTCAATGGTTACCACCACAGCCCATCTGCACAGTAACTGCTATGTTTGAGCCACTTTTGAGATATCTCAAAAGTGGCGCAAATGCATCTGCACAGTGACTAAACATTCTCTCTCCTCCTCCCCTTCCCTTCCTCTCCTCCCCTTCCTCCGCTCCCCCTCCTCCGTCCCCCTTCCTCCCCTCCCCTTCCTCGCCTCCCCCACCCCCCCTTCCCCTTCTCTCTCCCAGGCTGCTCTACTCGCTGTTCGTCACAGCAAGCGAGCAGGCCACGGTGCACGAGATGGCACTCACCCTACAAGCCGACGTGCGGCAACTAGGAGCCGCCATCTCCCTCGCATGCCGCCTCGGGTGGGCGGAGAAGGTGCTGGACCTGCACTCGCTGCTCGACCACATCGACATGGGGGGGGATGGGGACGCCGGCGAAGGGGGCGTGGGTGGCGAGGGGTTTGGTGCTGGAGACGGGGGGTTGGGTGCGGGGATGGGGGGAGGGGAGGGGGGGGTGGAGGGAGCGGGAGGTGGGCAGGTGGTGGGGTGGAAGAAGGTGGAGTCGGTGGGGTGGGGGGAGAGTGGGGGGGCGGATCGGTTGAGGATAGCGCTCATGGTGGACGCCAACCTCACGTCCTTCCTCATGATGGGCTCCTTTTCGTATGGTGAGCCCAGGCCTTTGACCTTTCTTCTTCTCCTATGGTCAGTGGTGACGCACGGCTTTTCTCCCTCGCTCTCTCTTTTTCCTGTCTTCAGTTGACTGCCTTCCATCTTGCCACAGATTTCCCTCCACTGCTCACTTCCCTTGCCTATTTAGCTGGAGGGTGACCAGCACAGCAGGTCTGCCCAAACCATAAAACATGACCCTCTCCTCCTCCCTCGCTCCTGGATCCTCTGCACCCCTCACCTTCACGTCCCTTGCAGAGCTAAAGCAGCATGCAGTGACTCTGTTTGAGGCAGGCAAGCTGTCAGAACGGAGTGTGGCGGAGCTATGCGGTGAGCTGAGAGCGGTGGAGAAGACACAGCTGGAGGGCGAGCTGCAGAAGTTCACGGACCACGCCTTCAGCCTCAGATACGCCCTCTCCTGCCTCCGCACCGGCACCATCGATATCACCTCCGCCCTCCACACCCCCCGCCCTACCTCTGCCGCCGCCGCCACTGCAGCAGCTATAGCACCGCCCCATCCTCCCCCTCGCTCTTCGCCCTCCAGTCAGCCTAGTGCCGCCAGTGAACCCCCAGGCGCTTCGGACTCTGCACAGGGGGTGGCTGTGGGGGCTGCAGCAGCAGATGCATCTGCCCCAGATGACACCTGGTCCACGCGCAGTGTGGCCGACTCTGCCTCTACTGTCGACCCCTCCGACCTCCCCCTGCCCCTCCCCTCCCACCTCGTCGCCTCCTCCTCCTCCCAGTCCCTTCCTGATTCTGTCACGGCATCGCAACCCTCCTCCTCACATGCCGACTCCTCTACCGTACCTGATGGTGTTTCAGGGAGCAGCGCGGCAGGCTTGGAGGGGTCCCGGCTGCAGGAGAAACCGTTACACCCGCGAGCTGCGTCGTACCCGGCACTGGCAGCAGCAGAAGCAGGCGACGATGACGGCTCCTCCTCCCCTGCCGCCCCTCCCCCTCCCGCCACTGCCACACCACCACCGCTACCACCATCATCGTCATCATCATCAGCAGCAGCAGCAGCAGCAGCAGCAGCAGCAGCAGTGGCCTCGCGAGCCACATTCAACCGGGTAGAGGTCCTACGCACAGAGAGCCTACAAGGCCTGGCGCCTGCCACACTGCACCGCCTACTGCGCAGGGACTTTGACCTTGTCGTCTCCATCGTGCCCCTCCCCAAGCCCCTCAACGCCGTAGTCCCTGACGGCTCCGGCCCCGCCCACTTCGGCCCGCCCGCCCCCGCCTTCCTCTCCCCCTGGGCGAAGCTGTTCCTCTACGCGAAAACTGCCTCTGGGCCGGTGTCTGTGGTGCTTATGCGGGGGCTGAGGCTCAGGCTGCTGCCCCCGCCGCTGGTGACGTGTGACAAGGCACTGGTGTGGACTTGGGATGGCATGGGGGTCGGGGGAGTGGGGGCGAAGAGTGAAGGGTCGCTGGTGCCTGGGACGGTGCTGCTGCATGTGGTGAACAGCCTGCTTAGGCACTCTGCTGTCATGGTTCAGCCTCTGGCCGCCCCACCTGCCCCTGCTCCTGGTTTCTCCCGCACTGGGTCGAACTCAGCAGCGAGAGCAGGAGGGGGAGGGGAGGGAGGGTTGTGGGGTGGGGATGGGGCAGTGGAGGGGGTGGGGGAGGGCGTGGGGTGTCTTACTGAGGAGGGGGAGCCGGATATTGCCACTGTTGCTCTCCCTCTGCCCCCTCGCTCTCGATCAGACACCAGTGAGGCACAAGCAGCAGAGAAGGGGGCGGTAGTGCGGGGGGCAGCAGAGGATGGGGCCGTCCTGCAGCAGCAGAAGCCGCAGGGCGGGGGGAGAACACTGGGCAGGACGAGGCTGGGAAATGCTGGGGCGGATGGGGATGGGGCGGGTGGTGGGGCAGGAGGGGACGAGGGGAGCAGGAGCGAGGGAGGTGAGGGCGGAGTGGTGAGTGATAGCACTGGTGGTGCTGGCTCAGGGGCAGTGGAGCAGGGAGCAGGGCAGCAGCAGTGGGAGGAGGATGAGTCACCAATTGTGGCGGCAGCCAGGCGAGCAGCAGAGGTGCTGGCTGTGGATGCTGTGGGGTTCGTTCGAGTCATCCGAACAGAGGCAGGCGAGGAGGAGGAGGAGGAGGAGGAGGAGGAGGAGGAGGAGGAGGAGGAGGAGGAGGAGGAGGAGGAGGAGGAGGAGGAGGAGGAGGAGGAGGAGGAGGAGGAGGAGGAAGAGGGGGGTGCTGCTGGCACTGGCACGGCCAGTGGGGAAGGGAGGTTGAGAATAGACGTCAGTGATGGAGGCGGGGGAGCAGCAGGCACCGGGGGACTCCCACAAAAGCAGCAGCAGCGGCGGGGGCAGCGGGGGCAGTGGGTGGCACACAGCGTGGAGTTTGGCATTCCTCTGTTCGACACGCAGCTGTGCTGCCAGGTGTGCGACGCCGTGGTCTCTCACAGCATGCTCACCCCGCCGCAGCTCGCCTCACAGCGCCGCTCCACCCTCTCTCTGCGCTCTGCTCTCCGGGAATTCATTTCTGACTATCGCCAGCACGGCCCTGTCTCCCGGGCTGTCTACACCGGGAATGTGGCTCTCCTGCGATCGACTTCCCGCCGTTGGTCTGCTTCGTTTGCAGCCTGTGCTGCTGCTGCTTCCCCATTTTCCGTGCTGCTGCCGAGACGGACTGTCAGGCATGTGCCGCCGTCGCCGTCGGGGAGGGGAGCCGGGGAGAGGGGTGCGGGGCGGGGAGGAGGTAGGAGAGGGGAGTTTGGTGGGGTGATAGCGGCGGCAGTGGCAGCAGTGGATGCGGAGAAGGGAGGGGGGAGGAGGGCGGGGGACAGGAGAGGGAGGATGGGGCAGAAGCACAGGCTGAGCCGAAACTTTTCAGAGTTTTGGTACCTGCCCGAGAACCAAGCTCCCAGGTATGGGTGGTTTCTGTGATTTCCGTGCCCTTCAGGGAAGGGACTCAACAATGGAAGTTAATCCACTTTTCTTGCTTTGTTTTTCCTAACTTCTCCTTTTTCGCTTGCTCTTACCCCCTCCCTCCACTGCCCAGCTTTGCAGCCACTCAAGATGATTCTCAGGACCCCTATGCACAATCAAATCTCGATCCAAGCTACACGTCGGAGGAGGAAGAGGACGACCTCAGCCGCCCGGCATACCCCGGAGTGAATATGATCTTTGATGGTCACCTGCTTCTGCCCATCGATCTCTCGACCTATCTGCACGGACGGCAAGCGTCGACTCTTGTGGCCCGTGCAACCTCAGTGTCTCAACAGTCTATCATGTGGTGACGCTGGTGGGATGCTGGGGCGACCTGGAATTGTTGGGATGAGAGTCTTTGCAACGTGATTATTTCAGAAAAAGGGCTGTAGGAAAATCATGGCTGTAGGAAACTCATGGCTGTAGGAAAATCATGGTTGTAGGAAACTCATGGCTGTAGGAAACTCATGGCTGTAGGAAAAAAAGGCACCTCTTTGTGCTGCCGTCATTGCAGGTCCTTAGTAAAACGCCTGCCCCAGTGCATTTGGGCCGTTTGAGTAACGACTCGAGTACATGTGTGCTGTGCAGTTTCTATTCAACGGCACAAGCCCGCTCATTCCAAGGCAAATCACTATGAAATCCTCCTGAAGCCCGCAAGCCCGCAAGCCATCAGAGCTGCTAGTCAACAAGCCACTCCCTGGAAATGAGGCATGAGGAAAAACAGTCTGTCAACAAGGTGAGGGTAGAAGTCATGCAAACAAAATGGCTCACCTAGAGTGACCTGCACGAGCTGGACAAAAGGCTCCGTTGCCGGGATTTGAACCCGGGTCGCCTGGGTGAAAGCCAGGTATCCTAACCAGGCTGGACGACAACGGATGTCGAACTAATAGACACAAACATATGGATTGATGTCTTATTGGTATTGTGACTCGAATTCGGATTCTCCTACATGAGCGCACTCGCAGATGATACGAGCTAGTGAAGCCGTGCCGTGGGTGCGCGCTGGCAGGGATGTAGGCAGCATCCATGGCAGCGGATCGGCGCTCTGCAGGCTTCCGCTCCTTGAATCGGCGCGCAATGAATCATCACGGCGGAGCCCGGCGAGTTTCAGTCGCGCTAGAGCACGCCTCCCCCGCAGATTCGCGTCCCGACGCAAGATTCTCAGCGTCGAGTCGAAGATAGCGCTGCGCGCGTCGTGTGACCGCGTGGAAAGCGGAAGAGCTGGTCGGGGTGCAGACTATGCTCGCATCGCTGCGGCAGTACCTCGCTGCCGCTCCGGTAATCGCGGCGCCGTGAGTCGACGTGCGGGATCGGGGGATGGCGCGGGGAGTGGTGCGGCGGAGACCAGCCGGGGAGGCGGATCGTATTTGGAGGGGGCGGCACTGTTCTGGCGCGACGCACGGTGCGAGGGAGAGGAGAGAGTAGGTGTGACGGTAGAGATAGAGTGAGCGAGGGAGAGATAGGTTGAATGGGGAGTGATTGTAAGTGAGGGAGAGAGTGAGGGAGACAGGATTAAGCTCTCATGCCCGTTTCCCTGCGCACCCGCAATTCCTTTTGACTCCCGCATGCGTGTCCGCCGCGCTGCAGTTCCGCCTACTCCGCGGACGCGCTGGGCGTGGAGATGGCGGCGATCGCGCTGCCGGCGCTGCTGGCGCTCGCCGCCGAACCCGTCGCGTCGCTCGTTGATACGTTCTACATCGGGCAGATGGGTGAGAGCAGTTATTTTGACGGGCAGATCGGTTGTTAGTCAGCTGATTGGACAGCGAGGTAATTACCGCAGCGAAGCATAAGCTGCTGGTCATTCTCTCGCAGGCGAGTGCTTCTTTCCGCATTCACCCAACGGCTGCTCGCCAGGCAGCTTCTAACCCGCCCATCTCGTGCCCCTTGTCTCTGCCGCGCTGCCCCCTGTCCCCCCGTGTGTCTCGTACGGCAGGCGCGGAGGAGCTGGGGGGGGTGGGGGTGGCGGTGGCGGTGGTGGGAGTGGTGTCTAAGGTACTCAACGTGCCGCTGCTCAACATCACCACCTCCTTCGTCGCTCAGGACCAACACCTCCTCACGCACTCTCCGCACCACCAGCCACACGCCTCGGGTTCAGTACCCTCCGCTTCCTCCGCCCCCTCCGCTTCCTCCGCCCCCTCCGCGGCGTCCAAGCCCGTGGTGCCGGCGGTGTCAGCGGCGCTGCTAATGGCCGTGGCGCTCGGCGCATTGGAGGCGCTGCTGCTGGCGCTCGCAGCAGCGCCGCTGCTGGGGGTGATGGGCGTGGGGCCCTTGTCGCCCATGCACGCGGCGGCGCTGCAGTACCTGCAGGTGAGGGCGGTGGGGTCGCCCGCGGTGGTGCTGTTCCTCACGGCGCAGGGCGTCTTCCGCGGCCTCAAAGACACTCGCACGCCCCTCGCTGCCTCCGGTGAGCCCCTCGCTGCCTCCGGTGAGCCCCTCGCTGCCTCCGGTGAGCCCCTCGCTGCCTCCGGTGAGCCCCTCGCTGCCTCCGGTGAGCCCCTCGCTGCCTCCGGTGAGCCCCTCGCTGCCTCCGGTGAGCCCCTCGCTGCCTCCGGTGAGCCCCTCGCTGCCTCCGGTGAGCCCCTCGCTGCCTCCGGTGAGCCCCTCGCTGCCTCCGGTGAGCCCCTCGCTGCCTCCGGTGAGCCCCTCGCTGCCTCCGGTGAGCCCCAAGCTTTACCTGGAATAGCGCTTCAGATCAGAAGAGGGCTTTAGGTGAGATTAGCGTATTAGGAGAATGCAGCAGAGGATACTACGTGCACAGCCTGTGCGTTTGGAGAACAAACCACAATTCCTGGTTTCACTCTCTTTCCACCTGCCCTCCCCCCCTCTGCAGTGAGCGGCAACGTGGTGAACATCCTGCTGGACCCGTTGCTCATCTTCTCCTGCGGGCTGGGCGTGTCAGGCGCTGCAGCGGCCACGGTGGCAGCACAGTACGGCATGGCGGGGTGGCTGCTGCTGCAACTCAGCAGCACAGTGCAGCTCATCCCGCCCTCGCTCTCCCTCCTCTCCTTCCACCGCTTCGTCAAGTCCGGTGAGCCCTGCCACTCACAACAGAGTTCGCATCAGCATCAGCGCATCAGCATCAGCGCATCAGCATCAGCATCAGCGCATCAGCATCAGCATCAGCATCAGCGCATCAGCATCAGCATCAGCGCATCAGCATCAGCATCAGCATCAGCGCATCAGCATCAGCGCATCAGCATCAGCATCAGCGCATCAGCATCAGCATCAGCATCAGCATCGGCGCATCAGCATCAGCATCAGCATCAGCATCAGCGCATCAGCATCAGCATCAGCATCAGCGCATCAGCATCAGCATCAGCGCATCAGCATCAGCGCATCAGCATCAGCATCAGCGCATCAGCGTCAGCATCAGCATCAGCATCAGCTCATCAGCATTAGCATCAGCATCAGCATCAGCATCAGCGCATCAGCATCAGCGCATCAGCATCAGCATCAGCATCAGCGCATCAGCATCAGCATCAGCATCAGCATCAGCATCAGCGCATCAGCATCAGCATCAGCGCATCAGCATCAGCGCATCAGCATCAGCATCAGCATCAGCGCATCAGCATGAGCATGAGCATCAGCATCAGCATCCGCATCAGCATCAGCATCACATCAGCATCAGCATCAGCATCAGCGCATCAGCATCAGCGCATCAGCATCAGCATCAGCGCATCAGCATGAGCATCAGCATCAGCATCAGCATCCGCATCAGAATCAGCATCTCATCAGCATCAGCATCAGCATCAGCGCATCAGCATCAGCATCAGCGCATCAGCATCAGCATCAGCATCAGCATCCGCATCAGCATCCGCATCAGCATCAGCATCAGCATCAGCATCAGCATCAGTGCATCAGCATCAGCGCATCAGCATCTGCATCAGCGCATCAGCATCAGCGCATCAGCATCAGCGCATCAGCATCAGCGCATTAGCATCAGCGCATCAGCATCAGCATCAGCGCATCAGCATCAGCGCATCAGCATCAGCATCAGCGCATCAGCATCAGCATCAGCATCCGCATCAGCATCCGCATCAGCATCAGCATCAGCATCAGCGCATCAGCATCAGCGCATCAGCATCTGCATCAGCGCATCAGCATCAGCGCATCAGCATCAGCGCATCAGCATCAGCGCATTAGCATCAGCGCATCAGCATCAGCATCAGCGCATCAGCATCTCCGCATCAGCATCAGCATCAGCGCATCAGCATCAGCGCATCAGCATCAGCGCATCAGCATCAGCGCATCAGCATCAGCACATCAGCATCAGCATCAGCATCAGCGCATCAGCATCAGCATCAGCGCATCAGCATCAGCATCAGCGCATCAGCATCAGCGCATCAGCATCAGCGCATCAGCATCAGCGCATCAGCATCAGCGCATCAGCATCAGCGCATCAGCGCATCAGCATCAGCATCAGCGCATCAGCATCAGCATCAGCATCAGCGCATCAGCATCAGCATCAGCGCATCAGCATCAGCGCATCAGCATCAGCGCATCAGCATCAGCGCATCAGCATCAGCGCATCAGCATCAGCATCAGCGCATCAGCATCAGCATCAGCGCATCAGCATCAGCGCATCAGCATCAGCGCATCTGCATCAGCATCAGCATCAGCGCATCAGCATCAGCATCAGCGCATCAGCATCAGCGCATCTGCATCAGCGCATCTGCATCAGCGCATCTGCATCAGCGCATCTGCATCAGCGCATCTGCATCAGCGCATCTGCATCAGCGCATCAGCGCATCAGCATCAGCATCAGCGCATCAGCATTAGCATCAGCGCATCAGCATCAGCGCATCTGCATCAGCCCATCTGCATCAGCGCATCAGCATCAGCATCAGCATCAGCGCATCACCAACGCGCGCGCCTGGACCAACGCGCGCGCCTGGACCAACGCGCGCGCCTGGACCAACGCGCGCGCCTGGACCAACGCGCGCGCCTGGACCAACGCGCGCGCCTGGACCAGGTCGCGCGCCTGGACCAACGCGCGCCTGGACCAGGTCGCGCGCCTGGACCAGGTCGCGCGCCTGGACCAACGCGCGCGCCTGGACCAACGCGCGCGCCTGGACCAACGCGCGCGCCTGGACCAGGTCGCGCGCCTGGACCAACGCGCGCGCCTGGACCAACGCGCGCGCCTGGACCAACGCGCGCGCCTGGACCAACGCGCGCGCCTGGACCAACGCGCGCGCCTGGACCAACGCGCGCGCCTGGACCAGGTCGCGCGCCTGGACCAACGCGCGCGCCTGGACCAGGTCGCGCGCCTGGACCAACGCGCGCGCCTGGACCAACGCGCGCGCCTGGACCAACGCGCGCGCCTGGACCAACGCGCGCGCCTGGACCAGGTCGCGCGCCTGGACCAACGCGCGCGCCTGGACCAACGCGCGCGCCTGGACCAACGCGCGCGCCTGGACCAACGCGCGCGCCTGGACCAACGCGCGCGCCTGGACCAACGCGCGCGCCTGGACCAACGCGCGCGCCTGGACCAACGCGCGCGCCTGGACCAACGCGCGCGCCTGGACCAACGCGCGCGCCTGGACCAACGCGCGCGCCTGGACCAACGCGCGCGCCTCGACCAGGTCGCGCGCCTCGACCAGCGCGCGCGCCTGGACCAACGCGCGCGCCTGGACCAACGCGCGCGCCTGGACCAACGCGCGCGCCTGGACCAACGCGCGCGCCTGGACCAACGCGCGCGCCTGGACCAACGCGCGCGCCTGGACCAACGCGCGCGCCTGGACCAACGCGCGCGCCTGGACCAACGCGCGCGCCTGGACCAACGCGCGCGCCTGGACCAACGCGCGCGCCTGGACCAACGCGCGCGCCTGGACCAACGCGCGCGCCTGGACCAACGCGCGCGCCTGGACCAACGCGCGCGCCTGGACCAACGCGCGCGCCTGGACCAACTCGCGCGCCTGGTCCAACGCGCGCGCCTGGACCAACGCGCGCGCATGGACCAACGCGCGCGCCTGGACCAACGCGCGCGCCTGGACCAACGCGCGCGCCTGGACCAGGTCGCGCGCCTCGACCAACGCGCGCGCCTGGACCAACGCGCGCGCCTGGACCAACGCGCGCGCCTGGACCAACGCGCGCGCCTGGACCAACGCGCGCGCCTGGACCAACGCGCGCGCCTGGACCAACGCGCGCGCCTGGACCAGGTCGCGCGCCTGGACCAACGCGCGCGCCTGGACCAACGCGCGGGCCTGGACCAACGCGCGCGCCTGGACCAACGCGCGCGCCTGGACCAACGCGCGCCCCTGGACCAACGCGCGCGCCTGGACCAACGCGCGCGCCTGGACCAACGCGCGCGCCTGGACCAACGCGCGCGCCTGGACCAACGCGCGCGCCTGGACCAGGTCGCGCGCCTGGACCAACGCGCGCGCCTGGACCAACGCGCGCGCCTGGACCAACGCGCGCGCCTGGACCAACGCGCGCGCCTGGACCAACGCGCGCGTCAGGACCAACGCGCGCGCCTGGACCAACGCGCGCGCCTGGACCAACGCGCGCGCCTGGACCAGGTCGCGCGCCTGGACCAACGCGCGCGCCTGGACCAACGCGCGGGCCTGGACCAACGCGCGCGCCTGGACCAACGCGCGCGCCTGGACCAACGCGCGCGCCTGGACCAACGCGCGCGCCTGGACCAACGCGCGCGCCTGGACCAACGCGCGCGCCTGGACCAACGCGCGCGCCTGGACCAGGTCGCGCGCCTGGACCAACGCGCGCGCCTGGACCAACGCGCGCGCCTGGACCAACGCGCGCGCCTGGACCAACGCGCGCGCCTGGACCAACGCGCGCGCCTGGACCAACGCGCGCGCCTGGACCAACGCGCGCGCCTCGACCAGGTCGCGCGCCTCGACCAACGCGCGCGCCTCGACCAACGCGCGCGCCTCGACCAACGCGCGCGCCTGGACCAACGCGCGCGCGCCTGGACCAACGCGTGCTCCTGGACCAACGCGCGCGCCTGGACCAACGCGCGCGCCTGGACCAATGCGCGCGCCTGGACCAACGCGCGCGCCTGGACCAACGCGCGCGCCTGGACCAACGCGCGCGCCTGGACCAACGCGCGCGCCTGGACCAACGCGCGCGCGTGGACCGACGCGCGCGCCTGGACCGACGCGCGCGCCTGGACCAGGTCGCGCGCCTGGACCAGGTCGCGCGCCTGGACCAGGTCGCGCGCGCCTGGACCAACGCGCGCGCCTGGACCAACGCGCGCGCCTGGACCAACGCGCGCGCCTGGACCAACGCGCGCGCCTGGACCAACGCGCGCGCCTCGACCAGGTCGCGCGCCTCGACCAACGCGCGCGCCTGGACCAACGCGCGCGCCTGGACCAACGCGCGCGCCTGGACCAACGCGCGCGCGCCTGGACCAACGCGCGCGCCTGGACCAACGCGCGCGCCTGGACCAACGCGCGCGCCTGGACCAACGCGCGCGCCTGGACCAACGCGCGCGCCTGGACCAACGCGCGCGCCTGGACCAGGTCGCGCGCTTGGAGCAGGTCGCGCGCCTGGACCAACGCGCGCGCCTGGACCAACGCGCGCGCCTGGACCAAGTCGCGCGCCTGGACCAACGCGCGCGCCTGGACCAACGCGCGCGCCTGGACCAACGCGCGCGCCTGGACCAACGCGCGCGCCTGGACCAACGCGCGCGCCTGGACCAACGCGCGCGCCTACACCAACGCGCGCGCCTACACCAACGCGCGCGCCTGGACCAACGCGCGCGCCTGGACCAACGCGCGCGCCTGGACCAATGCGCGCGCCTCGACCAGGTCGCGCGCCTCGACCAACGCGCGCGCCTCGACCAACGCGCGCGCCTGGACCAACGCGCGCGCCTGGACCAACGCGCGCCGCCTGGACCAACGCGCGCGCCTGGACCAACGCGCGCGCCTGGACCAACGCGCGCCGCCTGGACCAACGCGCGCCGCCTGGACCAACGCGCGCCGCCTGGACCAACGCGCGCGCCTGGACCAACGCGCGCGCCTGGACCAACGCGCGTGCCTGGACCAACGCGCGCGCCTGGACCATCGCGCGCGCCTGGACCAACGCGCGCGCCTGGACCAACGCGCGCGCCTGGACCAACGCGCGCGCCTGGACCAACGCGCGCGCCTGGACCATCGCGCGCGCCTGGACCAACGCGCGCGCCTGGACCAACGCGCGCGCGCCTGGACCAACGCGCGCGCGTGGACCAACGCGCGCGCGTGGACCAACGCGCGCGCCTGGACCAACGCGCGCGCCTGGACCAACGCCTGCGCGCGCCTGGACCAGGTCGCGCGCGCCTGGACCAACGCGCGCGCCTGGACCAGGTCGCGCGCCTGGACCAATGCGCGCGCCTGGACCAACGCGCGCGCCTGGACCAACGCGCGCGCCTGGACCAACGAGCGCGCCTGGACCAACGCGCGCGCCTGGACCAACGCGCGCGCCTGGACCAACGCGCGCGCCTGGACCAACGCGCGCGCCTGGACCAGGTCGCGCGCCTGGACCAACGCGCGCGCCTGGACCAACGCGCGCGCCTGGACCAACGCGCGCGCCTGGACCAACGCGCGCGCCTGGACCAACGCGCGCGCCTGGACCAACGCGCGCGCCTGGACCAGGTCGCGCGCCTGGACCAACGCGCGCGCCTGGACCAGGTCGCGCGCCTGGACCAACGCGCGCGCCTGGACCAACGCGCGCGCCTGGACCAACGCGCGCGCCTGGACCAACGCGCGCGCCTGGACCAACGCGCGCGCCTGGACCAACGCGCGCGCCTGGACCAACGCGCGCGCCTGGACCAACGCGCGCGCCTGGACCAACGCGCGCGCCTGGACCAACGCGCGCGCCTGGACCAACGCGCGCGCCTGGACCAACGCGCGCGCCTGGACCAACGCGCGCGCCTGGACCAACGCGCGCGCCTGGACCAACGCGCGCGCCTGGACCAACGCGCGCGCCTGGACCAACGCGCGCGCCTGGACCAACGCGCGCGCCTGGACCAACGCGCGCGCCTGGACCAACGCGCGCGCCTCGACCAGGTCGCGCGCCTCGACCAGGTCGCGCGCCTCGACCAACGCGCGCGCCTCGACCAACGCGCGCGCCTGGACCAACGCGCGCGCCTGGACCAACGCGCGCACCTGGACCAACGCGCGCACCTGGACCAGGTCGCGCGCCTGGACCAGGTCGCGCGCCTGGACCAACGCGCGCGCCTGGACCAACGCGCGCGCCTGGACCAACGCGCGCGCCTGGATCCAACGCGCGCGCCTGGACCAACGCGCGCGCCTGGACCAACGCGCGCGCCTGGACCAACGCGCGCGCCTGGACCAACGCGCGCGCCTGGACCAACGCGCGCGCCTGGACCAACGCGCGCGCCTGGACCAACGCGCGCGCCTGGACCAACGCGCGCGCCTGGACCAACGCGCGCGCCTGGACCAACGCGCGCGCCTGGACCAACGCGCGCGCCTGGACCAACGCGCGCGCCTGGACCAACGCGCGCGCCTGGACCAACGCGCGCGCCTGGACCAACGCGCGCGCCACGCGCGCGCCTTGACCAACGCGCGCGCCTCGACCAACGCGCGCGCCTCGACCAACGCGCGCGCCTGGACCAACGCGCGCGCCTGGACCAACGCGCGCGCCTGGACCAACGCGCGCGCCTGGACCAACGCGCGCGCCTGGACCAACGCGCGCGCCTGGACCAACGCGCGCGCCTGGACCAACGCGCGCGCCTGGACCAACGCGCGCGCCTGGACCAACGCGCGCGCCTGGACCAGGTCGCGCGCCTGGACCAACGCGCGCGCCTGGACCAACGCGCGCGCCTGGACCAACGCGCGCGCCTGGACCAACGCGCGCGCCTGGACCAACGCGCGCGCCTGGACCAAGTCGCGCGCCTGGACCAAGTCGCGCGCCTGGACCAAGTCGCGCGCCTGGACCAAGTCGCGCGCCTGGACCAACGCGCGCGCCTGGACCAAAGTGCGCGCCTGGACCAACGCGCGCGCCTGGACCAACGCGCGCGCCTGGACCGACGCGCGCGCCTGGACCAACGCGCGCGCCTGGACCAGGTCGCGCGCCTGGACCAGGTCGCGCGCGCCTGGACCAACGCGCGCGCCTGGACCAACGCGCGCGCCTGGACCAACGCGCGCGCCTGGACCAACGCGCGCGCCTGGACCAACGCGCGCGCCTGGACCAACGCGCGCGCGCCTGGACCAACGCGCGCGCCTGGACCAACGCGCGCGCCCGGACCAACGCGCGCGCCCGGACCAACGCGCGCGCCTGGACCAACGCGCGCGCCTGGACCAACGCGCGCGCCGGACCAACGCGCGCGCCTGGACCAACGCGCGCGCCTGGACCAACGCGCGCGCCTGGACCAACGCGCGCGCCTGGACCAACGCGCGCGCCTGGACTAACGCGCGCGCCTGGACCAACGCGCGCGCCTGGACCAACGCGCGCGCCTGGACCAACGCGCGCGCCTGGACCAAGTCGCGCGCCTGGACCAAGTCGCGCGCCTGGACCAAGTCGCGCGCCTGGACCAAGTCGCGCGCCTGGACCAAGTCGCGCGCCTGGACCAACGCGCGCGCCTGGACCAAAGTGCGCGCCTGGACCAACGCGCGCGACTGGACCAATGCGCGCGCCTGGACCAACGCGCGCGCCTGGACCATCGCGCGCGCCTGGACCAACGCGCGCGCCTGGACCAACGCGCGCGCGCCTGGACCAACGCGCGCGCGTGGACCAACGCGCGCGCGTGGACCAACGCGCGCGCCTGGACCAACGCGCGCGCCTGGACCAACGCGCGCGCGCCTGGACCAGGTCGCGCGCGCTTGGACCAATGCGCGCGCCTGGACCAACGCGCGCGCCTGGACCATCGCGCGCGCCTGGACCAACGCGCGCGCCTGGACCAACGCGCGCGCCTGGACCAACGCGCGCGCCTGGACCATCGCGCGCGCCTGGACCAACGCGCGCGCCTGGACCAATGCGCGCGCCTGGACCAACGCGCGCGCCTGGACCAACGCGCGCGCGCCTGGACCAATGCGCGCGCCTGGACCAACGCGCGCGCCTGGACCATCGCACGCCTGGACCAACGCGCGCGCCTGGACCAATGCGCGCGCCTGGACCAACGCGCGCGCCTGGACCATCGCGCGCGCCTGGACCAACGCGCGCGCGTGGACCAACGCGCGCGCCTGGACCAACGCGCGCGCCTGGACCAACGCGCGCGCGCCTGGACCAGGTCGCGCGCGCCTGGACCAACGCGCGCGCCTGGACCAGGTCGCGCGCCTGGACCAATGCGCGCGCCTGGACCAACGCGCGCGCCTGGACCAACGCGCGCGCCTGGACCAACGCGCGCGCCGGACCAACGCGCGCGCCGGACCAACGCGCGCGCCTGGACCAACGCGCGCGCCTGGACCAACGCGCGCGCCTGGACCAACGCGCGCGCCTGGACCAACGCGCGCGCCTGGACCAACGCGCGCGCCTGGACCAACGCGCGCGCCTGGACCAACGCGCGCGCCTGGACCAACGCGCGCGCCTGGACCAACGCGCGCGCCTGGACCAAGTCGCGCGCCTGGACCAAGTCGCGCGCCTGGACCAAGTCGCGCGCCTGGACCAAGTCGCGCGCCTGGACCAACGCGCGCGCCTGGACCAAAGTGCGCGCCTGGACCAACGCGCGCGCCTGGACCAACGCGCGCGCCTGGACCAACGCGCGCGCCTGGACCAACGCGCGCGCCTGGACCAACGCGCGCGCCTGGACCAACTCGCGCGCCTTGACCAACGCGCGCGCCTGGACCAACGCGCGCGCCTGGACTAACGCGCGCGCCTGGACCAAGTCGCGCGCCTGGACCAACGCGCGCGCCTGGACCAACGCGCGCGCCTGGACCAACGCGCGCGCCTGGACCAACGGGCGCGCCTGGACCAACGGGCGCGCCTGGACCAACGCGCGCGCCTGGACCAACGCGCGCGCCTGGACCAACGCGCGCGCCTGGACCAACGCGCGCGCCTGGACCAACGCGCGCCGCCTGGACCAACGCGCGCCGCCTGGACCAACGCGCGCGCTTGGACCAACGCGCGCGCCTGGACCAAACGCGCGCGCCTGGACCAACGAGCGCGCCTGGACCAACGCGCGCGCCTGGACCAACGCGCGCGCCTGGACCAACGCGCGCGCCTGGACCAGGTCGCGCGCCTGGACCAGGTCGCGCGCCTGGACCAACGCGCGCGCCTGGACCAACGCGCGCGCCTGGACCAACGCGCGCGCCTGGACCAACGCGCGCGCCTGGACCAACGCGCGCGCCTGGACCAACGCGCGCGCCTGGACCAACGCGCGCGCCTGGACCAACGCGCGCGCCTGGACCAACGCGCGCGCCTCGACCAGGTCGCGCGCCTCGACCAACGCGCGCGCCTCGACCAACGCGCGCGCCTCGACCAACGCGCGCGCCTGGACCAACGCGCGCGCCTGGACCAACGCGCGCGCCTGGACCAACGCGCGCGCCTGGACCAACGCGCGCGCCTGGACCAACGCGCGCGCCTGGACCAACGCGCGCGCCTGGACCGACGCGCGCGCGTGGACCGACGCGCGCGCCTGGACCAACGCGCGCGCCTGGACCAGGTCGCGCGCCTGGACCAGGTCGCGCGCGCCTGGACCAACGCGCGCGCCTGGACCAACGCGCGCGCCTGGACCAACGCGCGCGCCTGGACCAACGCGCGCGCCTCGACCAGGTCGCGCGCCTCGACCAACGCGCGCGCCTGGACCAACGCGCGCGCCTGGACCAACGCACGCGCCTGGACCAACGCGCGCGCGCCTGGACCAACGCGCGCGCCTGGACCAACGCGCGCGCCTGGACCAACGCGCGCGCCTGGACCAACGCGCGCGCCTGGACCAACGCGCGCGCCTGGACCAACGCGCGCGCCTGGACCAGGTCGCGCGCCTGGACCAGGTCGCGCGCCTGGACCAACGCGCGCGCCTGGACCAACGCGCGCGCCTGGACCAAGTCGCGCGCCTGGACCAACGCGCGCGCCTGGACCAACGCGCGCGCCTGGACCAACGCGCGCGCCTGGACCAACGCGCGCGCCTACACCAACGCGCGCGCCTGGACCAACGCGCGCGCCTGGACCAACGCGCGCGCCTGGACCAACGCGCTCGCCTGGACCAATGCGCGCGCCTCGACCAGGTCGCGCGCCTCGACCAACGCGCGCGCCTCGACCAACGCGCGCGCCTGGACCAACGCGCGCGCCTGGACCAACGCGCGCCGCCTGGACCAACGCGCGCGCCAGGACCAACGCGCGCGCCTGGACCAACGCGCGCCGCCTGGACCAACGCGCGCCGCCTGGACCAACGCGCGCCGCCTGGACCAACGCGCGCGCCTGGACCAACGCGCGCGCCTGGACCAACGCGCGTGCCTGGACCAACGCGCGCGCCTGGACCATCGCGCGCGCCTGGACCAACGCGCGCGCCTGGACCAACGCGCGCGCCTGGACCAACGCGCGCGCCTGGACCAACGCGCGCGCCTGGACCAACGCGCGCGCCTGGACCATCGCGCGCGCCTGGACCAACGCGCGCGCCTGGACCAACGCGCGCGCGCCTGGACCAACGCGCGCGCGTGGACCAACGCGCGCGCCTGGACCAACGCGCGCGCCTGGACCAACGCGCGCGCGCCTGGACCAGGTCGCGCGCGCCTGGACCAACGCGCGCGCCTGGACCAGGTCGCGCGCCTGGACCAATGCGCGCGCCTGGACCAACGCGCGCGCCTGGACCAACGCGCGCGCCTGGACCAACGCGCGCGCCGGACCAACGCGCGCGCCGGACCAACGCGCGCGCCTGGACCAACGCGCGCGCCTGGACCAACGCGCGCGCCTGGACCAACGCGCGCGCCTGGACCAACGCGCGCGCCTGGACCAACGCGCGCGCCTGGACCAACGCGCGCGCCTGGACCAGGTCGCGCGCCTGGACCAACGCGCGCGCCTGGACCAACGCGCGCGCCTGGACCAACGCGCGCGCCTGGACCAACGCGCGCGCCTGGACCAACGCGCGCGCCTGGACCAAGTCGCGCGCCTGGACCAAGTCGCGCGCCTGGACCAACGCGCGCGCCTGGACCAACGCGCGCGCCTGGACCAACGCGCGCGCCTGGACCAACGCGCGCGCCTGGACCAACGCGCGCGCCTGGACCAACGCGCGCGCCTGGACCAACTCGCGCGCCTGGACCAACTCGCGCGCCTTGACCAACGCGCGCGCCTGGACCAACGCGCGCGCCGGGAATAACGCGCGCGCCTGGACCAAGTCGCGCGCCTGGACCAACGCGCGCGCCTGGACCAACGCGCGCGCCTGGACCAACGCGCGCGCCTGGACCAACGCGCGCGCCTGGACCAACGCGCGCACCTGGACCAACGCGCGCGCCTGGACCAACGGGCGCGCCTGGACCAACGGGCGCGCCTGGACCAACGCCCGCGCCTGGACCAACGCGCGCGCCTGGACCAACGCCCGCGCCTGGACCAAAGCGCGCCGCCTGGACCAACGCGCGCCGCCTGGACCAACGCGCGCGCCTGGACCAACGCGCGCGCCTGGACCAACGCGCGCGCCTGGACCAACGCGCGCGCCTGGACCATCGCGCGCGCCTGGACCAACGCGCGCGTCTGGACCAACGCGCGCGCCTGGACCAACGCGCGCGCCTGGACCAACGCGCGCGCCTGGACCAACCCGCGCGCCTGGACCAACGCGCGCGCCTGGACCAGGTCGTGCGCCTGGACCAACGCGCGCGCCTGTACCAACGCGCGCGCCTGGACCAACGCGCGCGCCTGGACCATCGCGCGCGCCTGGACCAACGCGCGCGCCTGGACCAACGCGCGCGCCTGGACCAACGCGCGCGCGCCTGGACCAACGCGCGCGCCTGGACCAGGTCGCGCGCCTGGACCAATGCGCGCGCCTGGACCAACGCGCGCGCCTGGACCAACGCGCGCGCCTGGACCAACGCGCGCGCCGGACCAACGCGCGCGCCGGACCAACGCGCGCGCCTGGACCAACGCGCGCGCCTGGACCAACGCGCGCGCCTGGACCAACGCGCGCGCCTGGACCAACGCGCGCGCCTAGACCAACGCGCGCGCCTGGACCAACGCGCGCCGCCTGGACCAACGCGCGCCGCCTGGACCAACGCGCGCGCTTGGACCAACGCGCGCGCCTGGACCAACGCGCGCGCCTGGACCAACGAGCGCGCCTGGACCAACGCGCGCGCCTGGACCAACGCGCGCGCCTGGACCAACGCGCGCGCCTGGACCAACGCGCGCGCCTGGACCAACGCGCGCGCCAAAGCAACGCGCGCGCCGGACCAATGCGCGCACCTGGACCAACGCGCGCGCCTGGACCAACGCGCGCGCCTGGACCAACGCGCGCGCCTACACCAACGCGCGCGCCTACACCAACGCGCGCGCCTGGACCAGGTCGCGCGCCTGGACCAGGTCGCGCGCCTGGACCAACGCGCGCGCCTGGACCAACGCGCGCGCCTGGACCAACGCGCGCGCCTGGACCAAGTCGCGCGCCTGGACCAACGCGCGCGCCTGGACCAACGCGCGCGCCTGGACCAACGCGCGCGCCTGGACCAACGCGCGCGCCTGGACCAACGCGCGCGCCTGGACCAACGCGCGCGGCCTGGACCAACGCGCGCGCCTGGACCAACGGGCGCGCCTGGACCAACGGGCGCGCCTGGACCAACGCGCGCGCCTGGACCAACGCGCGCGCCTGGACCAACGCGCGCGCCTGGACCAAAGCGCGCCGCCTGGACCAACGCGCGCCGCCTGGACCAACGCGCGCGCCTGGACCAACGCGCGCGCCTGGACCAACGCGCGCGCCTGGACCAACGCGCGCGCCTGGACCAACGCGCGCGCCTGGACCAACGCGCGCGCCTGGACCAACGCGCGCGCCTGGACCAACGCGCGCGCCTGGACCAACCCGCGCGCCTGGACCAACGCGCGCGCCTGGACCAGGTCGTGCGCCTGGACCAACGCGCGCGCCTGGACCAACGCGCGCGCCTGGACCAACGCGCGCGCCTGGACCAACGCGCGCGCCTGGACCAACGCGCGCGCCTGGACCAACGCGCGCGCCTGGACCAACGCGCGCGCCTGGACCAACGCGCGCGCGTGGACCAACGCGCGCGCCTGGACCAACGCGCGCGCCTGGACCAACGCGCGCGCGCCTGGATCAGGTCGCGCGCCTGGACCAATGCGCGCGCCTGGACCAACGCGCGCGCCTGGACCAACGCGCGCGCCTGGACCAACGCGCGCGCCGGACCAACGCGCGCGCCTGGACCAACGCGCGCGCCTGGACCAACGCGCGCGCCTGGACCAACGCGCGCGCCTGGACCAACGCGCGCGCCTGGACCAACGCGCGCGCCTGGACCAACGCGCGCGCCTGGACCAACGCGCGCGCCTGGACCAAGTCGCGCGCCTGGACCAAGTCGCGCGCCTGGACCAAGTCGCGCGCCTGGACCAAGTCGCGCGCCTGGACCAAGTCGCGCCCCTGGACCAAGTCGCGCGCCTAGACCAACGCGCGCGCCTGGACCAAGTCGCGCGCCTGGACCAACGCGCGCGCCTGGACCAGGTCGTGCGCCTGGACCAACGCGCGCGCCTGGACCAACGCGCGCGCCTGGACCAACGCGCGCGCTTGGACCATCGCGCGCGCCTGGACCAACGCGCGCGCCTGGACCAACGCGCGCGCGCCTGGACCAACGCGCGCGCGTGGACCAACGCGCGCGCGTGGACCAACGCGCGCGCCTGGACCAACGCGCGCGCGCCTGGACCAACGCGCGCGCCTGGACCAGGTCGCGCGCCTGGACCAATGCGCGCGCCTGGACCAACGCGCGCGCCTGGACCAACGCGCGCGCCTGGACCAACGCGCGCGCCGGACCAACGCGCGCGCCGGACCAACGCGCGCGCCTGGACCAACGCGCGCGCCTGGACCAACGCGCGCGCCTGGACCAACGCGCGCGCCTGGACCAACGCGCGCGCCTGGACCAACGCGCGCGCCTGGACCAACGCGCGCGCCTGGACCAACGCGCGCGCCTGGACCAACGCGCGCGCCTGGACCAAGTCGCGCGCCTGGACCAAGTCGCGCGCCTGGACCAAGTCGCGCGCCTGGACCAACGCGCGCGCCTGGACCAAAGTGCGCGCCTGGACCAACGCGCGCGCCTGGACCAACGCGCGCGCCTGGACCAACGCGCGCGCCTGGACCAACGCGCGCGCCTGGACCAGGTCGCGCGCCTGGACCAACTCGCGCGCCTTGACCAACGCGCGCGCCTGGACCAACGCGCGCGCCTGGACTGACGCGCGCGCCTGGACCAACGCGCGCGCCTGGACCAACGCGCGCGCCTGGACCAACGCGCGCGCCTGGACCAACGGGCGCGCCTGGACCAACGGGCGCGCCTGGACCAACGCGCGCGCCTGGACCAACGCGCGCGCCTGGACCAACGCGCGCGCCTGGACCAACGCGCGCCGCCTGGACCAACGCGCGCCGCCTGGACCAACGCGCGCGCTTGGACCAACGCGCGCGCCTGGACCAACGAGCGCGCCTGGACCAACGCGCGCGCCTGGACCAACGCGCGCGCCTGGACCAACGCGCGCGCCTGGACCAACGCGCGCGCCTGGACCAACGCGCGCGCCTGGACCAACGCGCGCGCCAAAGCAACGCGCGCGCCGGACCAACGCGCGCGCCTGGACCAACGCGCGCGCCTGGACCAACGCGCGCGCCTGGACCAACGCGCGCGCCTACACCAATGCGCGCGCCTGGACCAAGGCGCGCGCCTGGACCAGGTCGCGCGCCTGGACCAGGTCGCGCGCCTGGACCAACGCGCGCGCCTGGACCAACGCGCGCGCCTGGACCAACGCGCGCGCCTGGACCAACGCGCGCGCCTGGACCAACGCGCGCGCCTGGACCAACGCGCGCCTCTGGACCAAAGCGCGCGCCTGGACCAACGCGCGCGCCTGGACCAACGCGCGCCCAGGACCAACGCGCGCCCCCGGACCAACGCGCGCGCCCGGACCAACGCGCGCGCCCGGACCAACGCGCGCGCCCGGACCAACGCGCGCGCCCGGACCAACGCGCGCGCCCGGACCAACGCGCGCGCCCGGACCAACGCGCGCGCCCGGACCAACGCGCGCGCCCGGACCAACGCGCGCGCCCGGACCAAGGCGCGCGCCAAGACCAACGCGCGCGCCCGGACCAACTCGCGCGCCCGGACCAACGCGCGCGCCCGGACCAACGCGCGCGCCCAGACCAACGCGCGCGCCCGGATCAAGGCGCGCGCCCGGACCAACGCGCGCCCCCGGACCAACGCGCGCGCCCGGACCAACGCGCGCGCCCGGACCAACGCGCGCGCCCGGACCAACGCGCGCGCCCGGACCAACGCGCGCGCCCGGACCAACGCGCGCGCCCGGACCAACGCGCGCGCCCGGACCAACGCGCGCGCCCGGACCAAGGCGCGCGCCAAGACCAACGCGCGCGCCCGGACCAACTCGCGCGCCCGGACCAACGCGCGCGCCCGGACCAACGCGCGCGCCCAGACCAACGCGCGCGCCCGGATCAAGGCGCGCGCCCGGACCAACGCGCGCGCCCGGACCAGCGCGCACGCGGACCAAGGCGCGCGCCCGGACCAAGGCGCGCGCCCAGACCAACGCGCGCGCCCGGACCAACGCACTCGCGCGGACCAACGCGCGCGCCCGGACCAAGGCACGCGCCCGGACCAACGCGCTCGCCCGGACCAACGCGCACTCCCGGACCAACGCGCGCTCCCGGACCAAGGCGCGCTCCCGGACCAAGGCGCGAGCCCGTGACCAATGCAATCGCGGCGCGCGCCAGGACCAACGCGCGCGCCCGGACCAACACGCGCGCCCGGACCAAGGCGCGCGCCCGGACCAACGCGCGCGCCCGGACCAACGCGAGCGCCCGGACCAACGCGCGCGCCCGGACCAAGGCGCGCGCCCGGACCAACGCGCGCGCCCGGACCAACGCGAGCGCCCGGACCAACGCGCGCGCCCGGACCAACGCGCGCGCCCGGACCAACGCGCGCGCCCGGACCAATGCGCGCGCCCGGACCAACGCGCGCGCCCGGACCAACGCGCGCGCCCGGACCAACGCGCGCGCCCGGACCAAGGCGCGCGCCCGGACCAATGCGCGCGCCCGGACCAAGGCGCGCGCCCGGACCAAGGCGCGCGTCCCGACCAACGCGCGCGCCCGGACCAACGCGCGCGCCCGGACCAACGCGCGCGCCCGGACCAACGAGCGCGCCAGGACCACCGCGCGCCCGGACCACCGCGCGCGCCCGGACCAAGGCGCGCGCCCGGACCAAGGGGCGCGCCCGGACCAAGGCGCGCGCCCGGACCAAGGCGCGCGCCCGGACCAAGGCGCGCGCCCGGACCAAGGCGCGCGCCCGGACCAACGCGCGCGCCCGGACCAAGGCGCTCGCCCGGACCAACGCGCGCGCCCGGACCAAGGCGCGCGCCCGGACCAACGCGCGCGCCCGGACCAACGCGCGCGCCCGGACCAACGCGCGCGCCCGGACCAAGGCGCGCGCCCGGACCAAGGCGCGCGCCCGGACCAACGCGCGCGCCCGGACCAAGGCGCGCGCCCGGACCAACGCGCGCGCCCGGACCAACGCGCGCGCCCGGACCAACGCGCGCGCCCGGACCAACGCGCGCGCCCGGACCAACGCGCGCGCCCGGACCAAGGAGCACGCCCGGACCAAGGCGCGCGCCCGGACCAACGCGCATCAGCATCAGCGCATCAGCATTAGCGCATCAGCATCAGCATCAGCGCATCAGCATCAGCGCATCAGCATCAGCGCATCAGCATCAGCGCATCAGCATCAGCGCATCAGCATCAGCGCATCAGCATCAGCGCATCAGCATCAGCGCATCAGCATCAGCATCAGCATCAGCATCAGCATCAGCGCATCAGCATCAGCATCAGCGCATCAGCATCAGCATCAGCGCATCAGCATCAGCATCAGCGCATGAGCAGCAGCATCAGCGCGTCTGCATCAGCGCATCTGCATCAGCGCATCTGCATCAGCGCATCTGCATCAGCGCATATGCATCAGCGCATCAGCATCAGCGCATCAGCATCAGCGCATCAGCATCAGCCCATCAGCATCAGCGCATCAGCATCAGCGCATCAGCATCAGCGCATCAGCATCAGCGCATCAGCATCAGCCCATCTGCATCAGCGCATCTGCATCAGCGCATCAGCATCAGCGCATCTGCATCAGCGCATCTGCATCAGCGCATCAGCATCAGCGCATCAGCATCAGCGCATCTGCATCAGCGCATCAGCATCAGCGCATCAGCATCAGCGCATCAGCATCAGCGCATCAGCATCAGCGCATCAGCATCAGCGCATCAGCATCAGCATCAGCATCAGCGCATCAGCATCAGCGCATCTGCATCAGCATCAGCATCAGCGCATCAGCATCAGCGCATCAGCATCAGCGCATCTGCATCAGCGCATCAGCATCAGCGCATCAGCATCAGCGCATCAGCATCAGCGCATCTGCATCAGCGCATCTGCATCAGCGCATCAGCATCAGCGCATCAGCATCAGCGCATCTGCATCAGCGCATCAGCATCTGCATCAGCCCATCTGCATCAGCACCTGCATCAGGATGTGCATGTGCTCGTGCATCTGCTCCCCCATCTCCCTCTTCCCCCGTCTGCCAGGCGTCTTCCCTCTCAACCCTGCAGCCCTCTCCCCGTGCATCCTCCCTGCAGGCGGGCTGCTACTGGGGCGAACGGTGGCGCTGTTGGGGGCGATGGCGGTGGGGACGAGCATGGCGGCGAGGCAGGGGGCGGTGCCCATGGCGGCACACCAGCTCGCATTGCAGCTCTGCCTCGCCGCCTCCCTGCTCTCTGACTCTGTTGCACTTGCTGCGCAGGTGCGCCCAGGTGGATCCTCAGGTGGTTTTCCAGGTGATTTTTCAGGGAATTTTTGAATTTGAGGATTGATTTCGTGCAGACATTTTTTCTCACATAATAGTTTATTTGTTCCTGTGTGCGTTCCCTTGTGTGCATGCATGTGCTTATGTGCTGATGTGTGATGGGATGTGTGATGGCATGTGTGATGGCATGTGTGATGGCATGTGTGATGGCATGTGTGATGGCATGTGTGATGGCATGTGTGAGGGCATGTGTGATGGCATGTGTGATGGCATGTGTGATGGCATGTGTGATGGCATGTGTGATGGCATGTGTGATGGCATGTGTGATGGGATGTGTGATGGCATGTGTGATGGCATGTGTGATGGCATGTGTGATGGCATGTGTGATGGCATGTGTGATGGCATGTGTGATGGCATGTGTGACGGCATGTGTGACGGCATGTGTGATGGCATGTGTGATGGCATGTGTGATGGCATGTGTGATGGCATGTGTGATGGCATGTGTGATGGCATGTGTGATGGCATGTGTGATGGCATGTGTGATGGCATGTGTGATGGCATGTGTGATGGCATGTGTGATGGCATGTGTGATGGCATGTGTGATGGCATGTGTGATGGCATGTGTGATGGCATGTGTGATGGCATGTGTGATGGCATGTGTGGCGCCATGTGTATCAGACCCTATTGGCATCAGCCTTTGCACGCAACGACACGGCCATGGTGCGAGCCATCATGCTGCGATCGCTGCAGGTAAGAGGCCATTGGGAAAGGCACCACATGCTGCACGCACCACATGCTGCACGCACCACATGCTGCACGCACCAATACCAATGCGAATGCCAGCACCTTCTTTCTTGCTTGTGACACCATTGCCTCTTCACTCACACTATCGCTGTCATTCATAGCCCCACCCTTCTACCACCTCATTCATTGCTCTCACCCACCATCACCCTCCTCCCGGCACTTCATCCACCGCTCTCACGCGTGCAACTCCATCCCCTCCTCCCCTGTGTGCTGGGCAGATAGGGCTGGGCATGGGGGCGGTGATGGGGGTGGTGCTCTCACTGTCAGCGCAGCTGCTGCCAGCGCTCTTCACCTCGGATGACCGTGTGCTGCTGCAGGCTGTCGCCCTCATGCCCGTGAGTCATTGCCTTCTTGCCTCTGAGAATTTCCATTCTTTTCCCTCCGCAAACCGGTTCCATTCACCACCAAGCAGCCATCGCTCCCGACTCACTGTTTCCCATGAGCTTTCCTCTCTGTGTCCCCTCTCCCTGACTGCAGTTCGCAGCGGCGATGCAGCCCCTGGCGAGCATGGCGTTTGTGTGTGACGGGCTGCACTACGGCGCCACCGACTTCGCCTTCGCTGCCCTCGCCATGGTGCGCTGCTGTCTTGCCACCATCACCAGCCTTGTTCTCCCGGACCCATGCTCTCTGCTCAATGCACATTCGACCTTGTTGAATCCCTCTCTAATGACCCGTTGGGTTACTTGTTGCAGATGGTGCTGGCGCCAGCAGCAGCAGCGGTGCTGGTGTATGCACCGAGCGAGTGGGGCGTGGAGGGTGTGTGGATCGGCCTCTCTCTCCTCATGGCTGCCCGCATGTTTGCCGGCTTCCTCAGGTCAGCCACCGCTTGCTTGCCCTGCTCCTCCAGTGCTCTGCTCCTTGCCCAGCCCTGCCTTCCACCAACACCCCCCATGCCTTACACCCCCCATGCATTATGCCCTCCATGCTGTGCTGGTACCGCCATGCAGAGTGGGCACGGGCGGAGGGGCGTGGGCAGTGCTGCAGCAGGCACCACCACATGTCCACATGAGTCAAGTGGATGCAGATGATCATCTACATGCAATCACAGGTGATTCAAGTGATGGTGACAGTAATGATGTGCATCAGTACACTCGTACAACAGGCACAGCGGAGGTAATTCTGGTAGAAGGAAAATCTGTCGCTGTTGGGAATGTAAATAGCACGAAACCTGATAAGACCACTTCAAGATATATTGAGGATTAACTTACAATTTGGAAATATAATTATTGCCTTGGGATTGGGCGAGCTGGCTCCTTAGGACGCGGTAAAAGTAGACAATCGATCGTCAGTCGCGATCGATATGCGGATTGGTTACCCTATTAACTAGGCTGTAACCATGCTACAGTACGTTTTTTTGCCAAAATTTCTGTACAGTGTGTGAAATGCGACTGATCACTGATAGCAGGAGATCTGTCAATTCTCAGCTGCGATCGTTACAACGTTGCCGTCGCCACGTTTCGTCAATCGATCTGCCCACTCGATTGTGGGGCTCGATATTTGCAGATGATCTTGCGATATTTGCACTTTTACCGCGTCCTTAGCGAAGAAGCATGTTCCCAGAACAGTCCTTGGGAACAGTTTTCTGGAAGATTCGCACTTTGCACGCACAGCACTCAGATAGTCTCCTCCAGCCACCTATTCCTGACACGTACAACGTTCCATACAGCGCTTCGGCACGCGGACGATCCATTAAAGCACTTGTATAAGATCTAACATATTATTCTTGCAGGAAGATAGGGAATAAACTGGCGGAGTGAGCTCGGATTGTTCGGGTCGGAGGTATCTGGGATGGCGGAGGCGGGAAGTGCCACCGCACGATCGCCGGCGGAAGAGGCGGGAGTGGAGTCCGACATGGCGCGACTCGCGGTGGCGGATGCGACAGACGGGAAGCCCGCAGGCGGCGGTGCTGACGTGGACGAGTTGGATGACGTGGAGCAAACAGAGGTGGTTCTGTTCCACCTGAAGGAGTGCTACGTGTACAAGGTGCGCACCGTCACCCATCCTCCTTCCCGCTTCCGCGCATTTCTGATTCGTGCGGTGGCTATGCGCTCAGGCGAGTCGCGAGCATGCGGCACCGCATGGCGTAATGTAAGTACGTCGCATGGGCTGTGCGACGCGCCAAGCGAGGAATCTTGAAATAGTCTGCGCAGCGTGCGGACACGTTCGTAGCCATTTCTGCCCCCTCCGCGCCACAGCGGCCTTGGAGTCGCGTCAACAATGCCGCGCGTTCCACGCTGTCAGCTTCCTTGACTCTTCTTGTCACCTTCATCCTCTTTTCCCCTGTCCCGTCAAGTCACCTTCATTCTCCTTTCCCCTGTCCCGTCTCCCCTCCCTGCCCTCCCGTCCCCTTCCCTCGCGCTCCCCGCGGGTGCTGATCCCCCATTGCCACGAGGCGGCACCAGATTCCCCCACGCAAGACAGCAGCGTCGTACAGGTGCGCGCACCCTCCCTCACTCCCCTCCCTCCCCTCACTCCCACTCCCCGCACCCTCCTCGTTCCCCTCACTCCCACTTTTCTTACCTCTTCACCATCCTTACTCCCAGCCCCCTCTCTTCCCTCGCACGTCCCCAACCCTTTATTGCCTAATCATCTGACAAGCAAGTCGCCCCTTCGCACCCCTGCGAGCATTCGCCGTACCACATCGCCCCACCAACGCTTCCCACCTTCTCTCCATCCTTCCTCATCCCTTACCCCCTCACCCCCATTCATCTCCCCACCTCCGCCACCCCTGGGCAGGGCGGACGAGTGGGACATAAACAGGTGGGCGTGGGAGGGAGCCATAAGCGTGGTGTCACGCGGCGACCACTGCAGCATCCGCCTGCTGGACGCCGCCACGGGGGACCTCTTCGCGCGTGCGCCCGTGCGCCCCAACCACCCCCTGCCCCTGGAGGCCGTCATCGACAGCAGCCGCTTCTTCGTGCTGCGCATCGAAGACTCCTCTCCGCCCCCGCCCTCCGCCTCTGCATCCTCTGCATCCTCTAGCAAGGCTGGGAAGCCCGCTGCTGCGGCGGCACCGGTGGTGCGGCATGCGTTCATAGGGCTGGGGTTCCGGGAGCGCACGGCAGCGTATGACTTCCAGGCGGCGGTGTACGACCATGTGAAGTACGTGTGCAAGCAGCAGGAGGCGCGGCGCATGGGACAGACTTATGACTCGCGCCCTGCCGCTGACTACCGGCTTAAAGAGGGGCAGAAGCTGCACCTCGACCTCAAAACGGTGCGGGGGAGATGGGGAGAAGGCGGGGGGGAAGGGGGGGAAGGGATGAGGGATTGGGTGTGGCGGTTGAGGGTGAGGATGGGCGTACAGTGAGAGATGTGCGTTGCAGGGACGAGGGGTGATGCAGGGGATTGGGGGGCGGTTGATGGCACGGCATAGGGGGAGGGGGGGTTTGGCAGAGGGTTGCTTGATAGTTCTTTTCCTCCCGTGCTGCTCACTCGGCTTACACGCGCTGCTGTGTGTGCATTGCCTCCTCTTCCCCTTCCCTCCCCACACACCACGGCAGCCGGCACGGGCGAAGCCGAGCACAGCAGGGCTGCCGCTGTCGCCCACCACACCGGGCAACGTGGCCTTCAAGGCGCCCTCCCTCACTGCTGCTGGCCCCGACACCCCCTTCCCCATGCGCCAAGCCTCGGGGGACCATGCTGCTGCTGACTCCTCCCCACCGCATGCCACCGCAGCTGCCACCACCGCTGCTGCCTCGCCTCCCATCCTCCCTCCCCCGCCCCCGGCGCGCCTCTCCTCGCCTCCCTCCGCGTCCCCCTCCTCCCCCCCCTCCACATCCTTCTCGGCGCGCTCCTTCCCCCCTGCCGCCCCCTCCCCCTCCATCGCGTGGGCGTTCCAATCCGACGACCCCCCTGCCTCTGTCACCTCCGTACCCCAATCCGTCATGCCTGCAACCTCTGGTGGCAGTGAGGGCGGTGGCAGTGCGGCAGCAGCGGGGGAGGACACAGATGACTTTGGGGAGTTTGTGGCTGCGTGAGGTGCAGGTGGGGGGCGAGTAACGCGACTCGTGGGTAGAGAGGAGGTGGAATGGATGAGGAGGGGCAAGGCATGGAACCCAGGGACTGGCAGCTGCGTGCATGCATGCATGTTCGTGCTGCTGTGCTGCCATGGGGTGGATGGCTTGCAAGCACCACAGGAGAGCCTCGGCATGGCATGGCTGACAGCAACTACTGCCCGCTAGGCTGGTTCATATTCAGGAAAGATTCTCTCACCATGCATGTACGGTATTGTAATCCATCATCTGTATGTGACAATCCCATACAGTGAATCCAAACTGACTAGCTACAAAGATATACAGAGCACAGCATCTGCATCTTTACTATACTAACAGCAGTGGCCAGCATTGCAGCATGCAGCAGCCACGAGTACTGGCAAACCATCTGCTTCACCCCTACAACGCCGCACCTGCTAGCTACTTGGCACCGTTCTTCTTCCCCCACCCCATCCCTTTCCCCTTGCCGCTCTTCCCCCCCAGCGCCTCACGGTGCAGGAAAGCAGCGCTCATGCGCGCAATGCGCCCACCCACGCCCTCCTGCGCCGCCTTCCCATCCGCCTCCCCATCGTCGTCCCCGCCCCCGTAGCGCACGCGCCTGGTCTCCACCTGGAAGTCACCGAGCATGTCGCGCACCACCTGCGCTGTGATGCCGCGCACGTAGTAGTCCAGGGGGGGCGGGGGCGACAGCGCCAGCTGCACCACCTGCTGCAGATGCACGCGCGACGCCATGCGCGCGCCATGCCCGGGTTTCGCCTCACTTGCGCCCTCCCGACTTGCGTCCCCCTCACTAGCGTCTGCTTCAGCGGGGGGCCGGCTGTCAAACGCCTCCCGCGCATCCTCAAAATCGCTGCCCTCCGCCCCCCGCCCCGCTTCCCCCTCCGCTGCTTCTGCCTTCCCTCCCCCCTCTACCCCGCTTCCGCCCTTCTCGGCTGTCTCCGATCCGCCCTTGCTCTCCCCCTCCGTGCGCATGTCCGCGGACCCCGGCACGGGCAGCGGCTCCACGCGCCAGAATCCCTCGAAGCGCCGCATGAACCCCGGCTGTGCGATCTTGAACGACATCTGCGCGGGGAGTGGGGAAAAAGGGAGAGCGGGAGGCGAGCGGGAAGTGGGGAGGAGCAGGCACGAGGGAAAATAAGTGGGAGGTTGGCAGCAGACGCGTGAGAGGCCACGGCAACGCGAACGCAAATGAGATTCCTTTCTACAGCCTCCCGTGCTCCTCTCCGTTTTTCATCTACTCTCCCCGTCGCCCTCCCACGCCTCCCCACACGCGCGACGCACAGTTCTTTCCGCGCGGTCCTGCGTGACGAGCAGGCGCGTGTCGAAGGCGCCGGAGAAGACGAGGAAGCGCCACGCGGCGGACTGCTCCACCTCCACCAGCTGCCGGTCGCCGTCGTCCTCCAGCACCTTGCGATGCTTCACCGCCTTGATGTTCTTAAACACGCGCCGGTTGTACGGGTCGCACAGCGTGTTGTACACCGCGTCGGGCGGCAGCGCCAGGGTGACCTGGCAGTCCAGCTGGCAGAAGGTGCCTTTGGGCGTCGATACCGCCAGCTGCGCCGCCTCGTCGTGCCACTCGGGGTCGTCCCGCCACGCGCGCATCTGCCGCTCCAGCTCCGCGCGCCACAAGATGCGCCCCTCGCGGTACCCGTCCATCTGCACCACCGCCTCCTCCTTCCGCTGCGCCTCCTCCGCCTGCCGCTGCGCCTCCGCGGCGTGGTGCGCCTGCTCCCACTCTCTCTGCCGCGCCAGGCTCTCTTCGTCCATCACCAGCGCCGCCGGCTCATCGCTCGTCGCGTCCTCGAACTTCTCTGCAACGTCACCGTCGCCTGCCACAGCGTCCGTGCCTTCACCGCCATCGGCGGCGGGAGTTTCGCTAGGTTCGGCGGGAGTTTCGGTTGGTGCGGCGGGAGTTTCTGTTGGTGCGGCGAGAGTTTCACTAGGTTCGGCGAGAGTTTCGCATGGTTCTGCGGGAGTTTCGATTCGTTCGGCGGGAGTTTCTGTTGGTGCGGCAAGAGTTTCGCTAGGTTCGGCTGGAGTTTCTGTTGGTGCGGCGAGAGTTTCGCTAGGTTCGGCGAGAGTTTCGGTTGGCGCGGCGGGAGCTTCGGTTGGTGCGGCGGGAGTTTCGGTTGATGGGGCGGGAGTTTCGGTTAATGCGGCGGGAGTTTCGGTTGGTGCGGCGGGTGCGGGCAATCCCGCAACTGGTTCTTCCTTCACGTTACCGCCCTCCCCCGTCCCCCCTGCCTCCATGCCTGCTCACCGAAAATGTCTCCCGGATCGCGAGTTCTGTGGATTGCGTCGGAGATGGTGCGCGCGTTACGTATCCTGCCCTGCGTGCTGTTAGTTTCGAACGCAAGACACAGCAAGTGCGGATCTGAAAGACGCGAGTGGATTGCCTTCCTTGATTGGTGCTTGCTGCCTCAACCACGTGGGACTCTCGATGAACCGAAGGCTCTTCTGACTCCCTCCCTGGCCCACAACAACTCGAGTGACTGGTGCTACAGGACGTGAGCTGCTCGCCTTCTGTCGTACCTAGATGGCTATTTTACGCGACCATGGCGATTGAAGAAAAGGGAACCACTGGAAACACAATCTTGCAGCAATTTCACCTCAATAAATGCAACGCTGGGGAGGGCATTCCCGCACGGCAGGGGCTGGCGCGCGGATTCAGCTAGTATGGGCACGTTCTCGCGCGACATGCTGCTGACCTGTGAGGTCTTGCTGGCGTGGCGCCACGCGGCCTGACAGGAAGGGGCTGGACTGCCAATCGCAGAGCTTGGTTTTGGAAAGTCAGCAAGTCTCAATCTCAAGCTGGTGTCTAATTGTACAGTTCATCAAACACAGCAAATTTCACAACTTCATACAATGAAATCACAAATAACAGTATAGAATTAGAGTTAGGGCGAATTCCTACGCAGGGACACCATCCGAAGTTGCGACACCTTGACGGGTTGCTTATTTGTTTTCGATTGAAGGTCTAATGATCAAGTAGCCTCGTAATTTGACAGGCCTGATAGAACCTCGAACCCAACCCTGGGCAGAGGCAAGCTAGTCTCGATGTGTTTGGTCAGCTGTGCTTAAACAGCTTACTGACATGTGTGGCGTGGAGTGTACTGAGATCGTAGAGAATTTCGTGTGTAATTCTCAGCAATGAAATTTTCGTAGCGTGGTCGTCTGGGTCAGTTTGCTTCGGGGGAGTAGGCGTACGGCATAAAAAAACGTTCAACATGTCCAGAGTTCGGATGGTGTCCGTGCCCAGGAATTCGCTCTTATGTACAGAAGTCTACGCAGCCCTTGAGGGCAACGTTTCTTTGCCCACTTGGCAATGCCTATTTGGCACAAAGCCAAAGTGTGCCAAGTATTTCGGGGAACTCAGCACTTGATTCCCCTCCTCACAGGCACCCAGTTGCACTCTTTGCGAGGCAGTGGGGTCTTGAGCACCTCCTTGTGCAAGAAGGCAGCACTTCTGACTGCACGGAACCCATTGTCCCTCTTCAAGTGCAGCTCATGGGGCTCCACGCCCCGCCCTCCCCCCACCTCCACTGCTCTCTCCTCTACCTCCTGCTGCTTGTCCTGCTCCCCCACTCGCACCTTCTCCTCTACCTCCTCGTCCTCACCAGAGCTCTCCCCCTCCTCGTGCGAATCCAGTCTCACAAGAGGCGGAGGGGGAGGAAAGGACGCCTCTATCTGCAGTTTCTCAGCGGGCGCGGGCATGTCAGGCACCGCGGCGGGGTCGGGGAAGGCGGTGTGGCCGTCCGCGATGGGGAAGGGCGCCTCTCTCAGCCGCCGCGCCTCCGCCATGAAGCTCGTCAGCATGTCTCTCGCCTCGTGCGCCGTCTTGTTGCGCGCCAGCATGTCGAACGGCGGGGGTGGCGGCATGGCGAGCAGAATCACCTGCTGCAAGCGCACGCGCGAGGCCATGCGCATCTGGCAATCCGCGCAGCACTCCTCTGTGTCTGTCTCTTCGGGTAACACGTCACTCGCGTCAAAGAACACGTCACCCTCTTTGTCCATCTCCCCGCCTATCCATCCGAACCGTCCGTCCCCCTCCGTGTCTCTGCCCTTACCACGCGCAGCCTCGCGCTCCCGGGCGGCCATGGCTTGCGCGTGTCGCGAGCACGGCACGGGCAGCGGGTCCACCTGCCACGAGCCCTCGAAGCGTCGCATAAAGCCCGGCCGCGCGATCGCGAACGACATCTGCGGAGCGAAGAGAGGGAAGACACGATTTTAGCATGCGCTAGGTATGGAAGCGAACACTGGACGCGCAGAGGGATCGGGCGTGACGGTCCAAGGACGCACCGCTCACTAGGTAGCTGGAGATCTCCGTGTGAACTCACGGTTTTGCAACGAAACGTACCGTGTGTTTGAGGCGATCCTGTCGCACGAAGAGTCGCACGTCGCAGGAGCCGGAGAAGATGAGGAACTTTCCGACGGCGGACTGTTCGACCTCGACGAACTGGCGGTCGCCGTCGTCCTCCAGCACGCGGCGGTACGTGACGGCGCGGATGTTCTTGAACACGCGCCGGTTGCACGGGTCGCACAGGATGTTGTACACCGCGTCGGGCGGCAGCGCCAGCGTCACTTCAGAGTCGATCTGGCAGAATGCGCCTTTGGGTGCCGACACCTTAATGCTGGGTGTCTCGTCGTGCCACTGCGGGTCGTCGCGCCACGCCTGCATCTGCGACTTGAGCGTGCGCTGCCACTGCACCGTGCCCGTCTTGTACGGCCCCATCTCCACCAACGCCTCCTGCGGCCCTCCTCTCCTTCCATACTCGCATGCTGTCGCCTCCATGAATGCGGATTCCAAGTGACACTATGGTAGAAATTGACGAGACGGTGAGTCTCTCGTTGTGTGCTACTTCACCTTAAGATTCACGCACAACTTCGAACAGGATACCGTCGTATTTCTTAACCAGGGCAGCGAGATAATCCTATGACGCTTTTGTGAATTTCAATGGTAAGTAGCGAATTCAGGATAACTAGGAACTTGAATGAGGTAGCAATTGAACGTGGATAAAGAAGCGGAGGTTCACTGAAGTCAGATTCGCATTCCCAGCATCTCGTCGGCATCACACACATTCCACTTCTCCTGACCCTCGTCGCGCCGCCGTAACTCCCCTACCCCAACCTCCCTCCTCCACTGCCTCTCATCACTCTCACTGTCGACTCGCGTTGACTGCACCGTGCCCCACCCAGACCAACCATTTAGCGTTGCCGATGTGTCACAGCCTTGGGATGTCGTGGAAGTGTAGACGATGGCAGCTGAAGCACACACCGCTAGGGTTCACTGGTCGGGCAGCCTGCGACTCCTGTCAGGGTCGTCAGCGTCAGCTACCACCAGTACGTCCAATCGGCGCCAAGTGTTCAGTAAGCTAGCCTTCGACGGTACTCGCTGCCCGTGGTGGAAACACGTTCGCCCGTGGCAGTTGGCGAAGTTGATGTACTTTGGTGCTGGCATGACGCCAGCTGCATCTTGAAAGGCCCCACAGACACTCGGGGACCAACTGCGAAACGTCACATCGGATCAACCTCGGAGTCATCCACGTGGGCCTAGAAACTCCTGACTTGGGGTTCGGTGAATTTCGTGAGGCACGTCGCCTGCAAATATATTTGCCACCTGTGACATCAGCGGCTGTGACCCCGTGTTGAGTTTAGCGATCAACCATACTTCTTGTAAGGAATTTTCTTGACATTCCTTAGCGCACCCTACAACATCGCGTACGGCAGCAGCCGTTGTTCGCCCGTTACTGCAAACGGGACTTCGCCAACTTCACGCGCACTGTTTTCACCAAACCTCGCACTGCTGGAGCAGCCGAGTCGGCCTACGCTTCGGGACTAGCCCGAACCTCGCGCCAGCGTAGCACTAGCTAGCTCGCACGCGCCGCGTTACCGTTTGCATGTTTCGCGTATAAATGTTCGCTCATGCCTTCGCTCACATTGTGTACTCCATTGACAACTTAGTGCAATCCTCGCTACCTCGATTCATTGCACCCGTAACACTTGGTATCAGAGCCTCTTTCTTTTCGGACCGCGCATCTCCGCACCCCAGGAAATCAACTTTTGATTTTTCACTCGAAGGGACTCACGCACTTTAGCCCCTAGGAGCCGCTGTCCTCGCATTCTCTCGTAAACGCGTGCAGCCACGACTGCGCCTAGACTAAGCCGAGCCGACGCCCTTCGTAATGGCTGAACACCTCGACGTCACGACACTCACGCAGGACCGCCTGAATGAACTGCTGCGCCAACTGCACGAAAACTCTGAAGAAATCGCGGCACTGACGGCGGAACGCACTTCCCTACAGAATGACGTCACACGAGCACAATCACAAGCACCTGGCACTCCGGTACAGCCCGCACTGTCAAAACATATTGTTCTGTTCATCTTACTCTAGGTTGTGTAGGGGTCACACCTTAGAGGGTACAACCCAACTCTCTCGACATCCTTGTACCCCCTCCCTCTTACCCAATTCCATCATACCTTCCTAGTATTCTCGACATGGTATTAAAACGAAAGTGCAAAATGGTGAACCCCGTCCCAACTTGAAAGACGCCAGGTGCTAGCGGACTGATTGTGAGCGGGAAAAGCACTGTTTGGTCTGTGATCTGAAAGGGCAGTAACAACATTGTGTAGAAAAATGATTGGTGCGCGATAGAGTGGGTCTGCACCAGACCACCCAATTGGTTGCGGCACCCGACACAAGTCGCTCGTCCCTCCTCGCGCATCAGAGTTTTACTCGCGGGAAACAAATTTGACATTTGAACACAGCACGAAACAGAGAACCAACTCTCAAACAAGAGCACCAACCTTCGATTTGGGTCCACTTGAATTTCAAGTGGGGCCGGGGTTACACGTCTATGATGCATAGCGTGAACTTCGCCGCTAGTAATCAGTGATAAGTACCGCAATGAACAACGACGTGGCCATGACAGCAGACATAGCGCCACTTTTGTGGTATTGTAGCAGAGGGTAGAGTGTCAAATGTAATTCTATGCTTGTAGGCTACAGCGAGTAGCACAATAGGGAGTACAGTTGTTAGGGTTGCATATTTGTACTCTCACACTTTCTAGTTTCGCACATTCCGTTGCATTCCTATTCTGAGATGGTATCACGAGTAGGTTAGATCCTCGTTCGTTTTTTAGCTAGCCTCCGCGCCCTACGCGCCCTCCGTGCTCTCGCGCCCTCCGCGCCCTCCGCGCCCTCCGCGTGTCAGATTTATATGACATAGCTACTGTAGGCTATAGTGGGGTAGCACACATGGGGTACAGTTTTCTAGAGTTTGCTTTTGTACCCAACTTTCCTTTAGTCATTTCATTCCTCGTTTCTTCTCATGGTATCGAGCACGTTCCCTAGTGGGAACACTTCCTAGGGCCCACCACGATTTTTTTTTCCTGCCCGGAGCGCGCTTCGCTCCTGCCCGAGTCGCGCCCTGTGTGCCCTCCCTACCGTCGCGCCCTCTCACGGCCCCTCACGGCCCCTTCGCGTCGCCCTTAGCGGCCCCTCTCACGGCCCCTTGCGCCGCCCTTACGGCCCCTCGTGCCACCCTTACGGCCCCTCGCGCCGCCCTTACGGCCCCTTACGGCCCCTCGCGCCGCCCGTCGGCCCCTCGCGCCGCCCTTAGCGGCCCCTTACGGCCCCTCGCGCCGTCCCTTACGGCCCCTCGCGCGGCCCCTTACGCCCCTTACGGCCCCTCCCGCGGCCCCTCACGGCCCCCTACGGCCCGTCGCCGCCCTCCGCGGCCCCTCGCGCCGCCCTATCACGGCCCGTCGCCGCCCTCCGCGGCCCCTCGCGCCGCCCTTCACGGCCCTGTCGCCGCCCCCTCCGGCCCGCCGTCGCCGCCCCTACCGCAGCAGCCACCGCAGTCCCTACAGCAGCGGCCGCCGCCGTCCCTGCAGCAGCAGCCGCAGCCGTCGCCAGCAGCTGCCGCCGCTGACTGCACCCGCCGGTGCGCCTCGGCCCTACCGGCGCCGCTCCACCCGGCCCCGCCGCCGCTCCCCGCGCGGCCCCGCCGTCACCACCGAGCCGCCGGCGCCGCCGAGCTGCTGCCGAGCTGCCCGATCCACCCGAGCCGCCCGAGCCGCCGCGCCACCTGAGCCGCCCGTGCTGCCGAGCCGCCGTACCGCCGAGCCGCCCGAGCCGCCCGAGCCGCCGAGTCGCCGAGCCGCTGTTGCTGCCGAGCCGCCGTACCGCCGAGCCGCCCGAGCCACCCGAGCCGCCGAGTTGCCGAGCCGCTGAGCCGCCGAGCCACCCGAGCCGCCCTGTCTGGTAAGAGCAGCGCCTCTGTCACTGCACTGCCCTTACCCTACTGTTCGCGCTGCTAGTCTACTGCTGTCATGGCTACCCCTAGTGTCCTCGCTTTTGACGCTGAGGGTCGGGCCATTGACTTTGACGTCTGGGTAGATGACCTGCAGCTTTTCCTACAGTGCGATAGGGCAGACGGTCTCTCCCTCTTTGACCTCACCTCTGGTGCCTCTCCTGCCCCTGCTGCTGATGCCGACGCCACTGTTCGCTCACAGTGGGCCACTCGCGATGCTGCTGCACGTCTTGCTGTGCGTCGCCACCTGCCTACCTCTGAGCGTGCGCACTTTAGCCAGTACAAGAGTGCTCAGACCTTGTACGACGCTGTAGTTGCGCGCTACTCCTCCCCTGCCACTGCTGCACTGAGCCGCCTCATGCTACCGTACCTCTTCCCTGACCTTGCTGCCTTTCCCACAGTCGCTGACCTCATTACGCACCTCCGCACTAGTGACACTCGCTACCGCGCTGCGCTTCCTGCTGAGTTCTGCGCCAAGAACCCCCCCCCCATGTACATCACCCTCTACTACATAGTCACCCGGCTCCCTGACTCCCTTCGCGTAGTCAGGGACCACTTCCTCTCAGTTTGCCCCACCACTCTCACCGTTGACCTCCTCGAGAAGGCCCTCCTAGCAGCAGAAAAGAGCATAGTAGCTGTAGGAGCCTCTCGTGGTGACCCTCGCACCCCCATCTTTGAGGGGTGTTCCCCCTCCCCCCTTTTGCCCTCTGTTGCCTCTGCTGCTGCGGCCGACCTCGTTGGGCTTGAGTCGGTCGGTGCGGCGTCTACCCCTAGCGGGAGACGCCGCCCTGGCAAGGGCAAGGGGGGCAGGGGCACTGGAGGAGCTAGCGGGGGCGGTGGAGGCGGCGGTGGAGGCGGTGGAGGGGGTGGGGGTGGCGGTGGGGGTGGTGGCGGGGGTGGAGGTGTCGGTGGCGGCAGTGGAGGCGGAGGCGGCGGCGGCGGTGGCGGTGGGAGCGGAGGTGGCGGCGGTGGAGGAGGCGGCGGCGGAGGAGGTGGAGCTGGTCGGGGTGGCGCTGCGCAGAGGGTCGGCTCCGGTGGTTGTCAGCGCCAGCAGCAGCAGCAGCAGCAGCGCACTCGTGACATCCCCCCCCCTCAGCAGCTCCGTGAGTGGTACGCTGCACGCCAGCGGGGTGGGGGTACTGGTCCGTGCACCTACGTCCTACGCACCGGAGACCGCGCGGGTGAGCAGTGCTGGGGTGCGCACTCCACCCAGCGCTGCTTTGGCCGCCTGACGGACGCTTGGCGTCACCAGTTCCCTGAGGCCACTGAGATCCCCCGCTGGGGTGAGCTGTCTAGGGCGGGTGTAGCTGTCTTTGACCTTGACTTTGATGCTATTCTTGCTGCCATGTATACTGTGACTATTAGTGATGAGGGTGACTGTTACCGGTGTTTTCCGCCCGACCCGGGCATTGAGTCTGCTGCTCTAGGTACTGGTGAGGCTGCTGCTCTAGGTGCTAGCGAGGCTGCTGCTCTAGGTGCT